ATACAACAAAGGCCAATATCAAATTAATGTTCCATTTTTATGCTAAAAAAAACCAGTCTTAGAAACTACATGTATGTATCCCAAATATATGCACACAACTTAAAACAATGGCATGTGTACAAACAACAGAGTGTCACCTTAATACCTTAGCTAAGAATCTTGCATATCTAATGGCAAAAAAAGTTGCAAGTTCCTGATCACTTGTCTCAATCATAGCTTCTTCATATAACCCAGACACAGCATCAGTGTTTCCTCTTCTTCTTTCAAGATTTATTCTTCTTAGCTTTACCATAATTATCCCTGGTACACCCTTGTCCAATTCAGCAAGGATCTCAGATGCCTTGCCAGCATTTCCTAGAAACACAAACAGCATGTTCATTGCTCACACTCATACAATGAATCTATTGTCATGAACAAGTCAATGAAAATAAAGAAAATACACCGAAATTTCCTTGCGGAAAAATATGATATTAAGCTACATTCTAACCCTACTTAGATTAATTTGAGTTATTTAGAACTATTTTATGGAATAATTCATAATGGCTATTGAAATATATTTAAGTTACACCTATAATCTAGCCCTTTTTTTTCGAAGAAAGGGGGGAAAAAGGACGCCCGATACTTTTATTTCACGAGTGGTCTGCTGCCACCTAAACAAGGCATCTGTCATCATTATTTTGTGTTATTGTGTCAGATTTTACCGTTAATTTAAGCAGTTTGTGACAAAGGCAGCTAGTTGAATTTATCTATTGTCCAGGCAAGCGGTGAATGCTCCTCAAATTAAATTCTGCCTGATCCAAGGAAGAAAGAGTTACTGAAGACGAATAACAACTCGTCCCCAGCAGCTGTCGAGGTTTTTCTCTGTGCATTGTTGACTTGATTCACTAAAAGTGTTTATTTTTGTGTTTTAAGACCTAGCTAACCTAAGCTTGCTGTTAACAAACAAAAGGGAGGAAGGATGGGCTGATTGCAGGTTACTCATAATCCTGAGTGACATTGACTTATAAATACACATCCTTTAAAATCTGTCATCTCACCTTGTTGTTCTTCAAATGCAGCCCACGCTAAATGAATAGAAGGTTTCCTTGGCAGATGTATCGTACAGGCTCTCTCATAGACATGTCGACATTTTTCAACACTATGTCCCTCCATGTAAGTGGCAAATCTTTGCCAAAAGTCTTCATACAATGCACATGCGATTACGCAACGTTCAAAGAGAATAACAACTCTTCTATGATCTCCATTGCTTAGTTCAAAGTCGAGGTATTCCCTCCAGTTCTTAAGTTGGACACGTTCTAATGGCTTAACATGAAAGTAGGGCCTTTTAATGGCTTCTTCAAATGGCCATCTTTTTCGCACCTCCTCTTCCAAAGCATTGAACACCTTCTGTCTAGCTGCTATTACTTTCTCCCGGATGGCAACGGTCTCAGCATCATTCTAGCAAGAACACAGAGTACTAATTAAAAAAAGTGCTCCAAGCTGCAACCGTTTTGGCTGCCATGTCAAGTAGAAAAAAAACTGGCGACTAAAATAATTGCATTGAGTGAATGCCAAGAAGCCCTAGTGTTTTAAGAGCTAGCATTTACGGTACACTGTAGCTTTGTAAAAAGCTAACAATCAATTCAAATTGATCATGGTACCTAGAGACAAAGCATACAATTTAACCCTGTGCCTCACCTGTGCAGAGACGGAGCTTTCTGCTCCAGGAGCGGACAGGTTCTCTGTACCTGGTGCAACTTCGTCAGCTTCTGAATCTCCATCTACACCTATAGCAAATAGTTAACAAACATCTGAAATTAGAACAACTTCATTACACCACCTGTCTGCAATTCTGTAGTCAACTCAAGTTGCCTAACATCTGCTGTGTGCTTTCATTTTTTAATGGTAATATCCTTGCTTTTCCAATTCTCTCTAACCCCTTCCCTGCATTCTATTTCCCATGTCAACACAACAAAGAGTTTAAGTGGAATCAGAACAAATGGAAGTAGATCTGCTTTACCTCTACCCACCAAAAGAGCAGTGGTCAAATAAAAGCAGACAACTACAGTTGTTATAGGCAACAGGGACTGAACAAACAGTCACAGAACAGACACATTTACTAGTAAAGTTGCCACATCATCCTTTTATCATCACTCTCGTTGATTTTGTTACCTCTGCGTCCTATGTCCCTGACGCATAAAAATCCTCAGACACAAAATAATTAATGGCATAAGTCCATGTCGGACGCAAAGAGAGAACTTGAGATGTTTTCGTAGAATATTCTGTTTTTGTGATTTTGGTGGATGTTCTCGAGGCTATTGTTTAGCGATGCATGTTTCTTTTAGTCTCTGTTGCGCTTTCAATAAAAGGAGTATAATTATTTTTATTTCAGTAAACTGTGATATGGAGTTTTGGAGTCAGACTGCCTGGTTAAATGAAGGCAAAAGCTTTTTCAATTTAGGAATCATTGGTTCTGGACTGGGACTCGTGATTTTTCACAAGATGAGTCCCAGGACTCACCATAACTATTTGTAACAAAATCACTGCACTTTGTAAAATAGCAGTAATCATAAACGTTTTCTCAGGAAAGAGTAGTCCCTATCTAAAAGTAAATTTTAATGGCTCCTGATAGGACATGAACAAGGTATTTTTACCTGGCGGATGTGTTGAGGTTGTAGCGACACTGATCAGAGGCTCAGCTTCTGCAGTGGTTACACCAGGAGGAGCTGCAGCCACTTCAGCTCTGAGCTTCAGTAATTCTTCTGTACATAGTACTGCGGCTATGGGGTTAGAGTTGATGTGCTGCTTAAACCTGAAGACAGATTACACACTGTCATGAATAACATCTGATACAAGCAGTTTTCAATTATTATTGAACTCACTAGACCAAAACAATAAAGCTAAAATGTTAGAAATGCTTTATTTAGCTAACAGGCCCTTTAGAGTTACAAGTCATGTAACTGTGCCTATGAAGCTATGCAGGCTTATTTATTTTAAATTATCCCATTTCTTTGCTTTCCAGAGCAAGAAAGAAAGAGAAAAGCTTGCAGCCACTTGGCTCTTCCACAGCACATGGGACTTTGTACAGAAAAAAACAACTTTAAGCTTGTCCTTTGGGCAAGTGGCTCTTGTATTTTGCTCCTCCTTGTTAATCATTTTCTTTAGAGTATGATTTGCCTAGACTGCTGCCCACTGGGAAAGTCAGCTACAAAGGTTACTTTCCTAGTAACAATGTCTTCTTGTTCCAGACTACTGGACAGGACTTTTTTCTAAAAGAGGAATAGCCTGAGAAAACATCCATTTCTCCGCACTCTTCGCCACTGGGAACATTTCGCGCGGAGTGCAAAACGTCCCCAGCGGCGAAGAGCGAGGAGAAACGGATGTTTTTGCAGGCTAAAAGAGGAAAGACTGATGGAAAACTGATATCTGAATCTGATAACTTTGAAAACTGATATCTGGTGATGGAAGTCCTTACTTTTCAAAATGTTGGGTGTAATTCTGTGTTGGGACAGTGAAGACTTTATCATACAGGGCAGTCACCCTTTGCAGCTGGCCCTGGCTTTTTTCCCATTCGATGTAAGCGTCCCATAGCTTGTCTGCTCTGAATTCGTCACCAGCAGTAGAAACAGCTCGTTCAAATAAACTACAAAGCAACAAAAGAACCACAAAAAAATGGAAACTGATCCTACAGGAGATAGAACATGACTTGTAGATTTAAAAATGTTAAAAAGAGGACTGAACTATAAAAAATACCTTTTCCATCAGAAAGTACCCCATACCAATAATGACCTGCCTGAGGCCAGCATGGGTTGCGATGCACACTACCACCCTAACTGGAGAGTTACTAACAAGAAACACATGGCACAACAAATTATGGGGGTTAGATTTACTGCCAAAATGAAATTCAGAAATTCAAAAACAAAACTTTTTAAAGTTTGAAAACAAACACACTCATCAACGGTGAATAATCCTTTGGTGTGCGCTCATCTCTAGGATTTCAACCATTTATATTTGATGCCTGTCATGTCTTGAGATGAAAGTGGTACTCCTGGAGAACAGATAGACTGTCAATATCAGTACAAAGGTACAGATTAACTGTACAGATCAAAGTTACCTTCGCATGAGCTGTGGGCCATCAAGTTGACCCTTGGTAGTCAGAGAAGCAAAGTTCAGATAATGTACCCACAAATCCACACTTAGAGGGATTGCAGCAATGGCCCTTTCAAACACCTGAAAAGAGAAATATGCAAGGCCTGTCAAAATAAAAAGTAGTTTTCAAATAATAATAATGATTTATTAATGGATCAGAGACCACCTCCAATAGTGGCTAGACCAGTTGTCCACAAAATGATTACTACATGTGAAAAAGTGTCCTTGCCAGCGGGTTCTCAGGAACAAGAAAGCTGCTACCTTTTGACTGAAAAAACAAAGCCACAGTTGTAGTTTGGGAAGCGAAGGCGGAGCTCAAGGCAAATCAGTTTGACGCCATTATCCAAAATTGCCGATCAAAAGTTGAAATTAGCTTCAAGAAATTTCATTTCTTACCTCTTTGGCATTATCTATGTTTCCATTCTTTCTCTCCATGTCTGCGTACTTCTTCCAGTAACCATAGCAATAGGGATAACGCTTGAAGAAAGCATCAAAAGCTTGCCTGGCTGAAGAGAGCTTGTTCTAAAGTAAGAAAAACACATCAATTACCAAGTTAGCAGCAATTACTAGGCTTTTGATGTCAAAACAAAGTGCAGGCTGGAAAAACAATCAACAAGAAATAACCTCCAAGAGAAGTTTCTACAAACGCTGACTTGCATGGTTTTATCCAAGTAAAGGGCTAAAATTATCCTAGACAAAGAGAACGATTTGTCAGAATTCGCAAAACGTGCTTAAGAATCGAAAGTATTATGTAAAACAGCTGTTAATGTTTAACAACAGTTGCTTTTTCCAAGTGATGAAGATCAGAGCAAAAGTAGAAGTGTTTAAAACATACCTCTTGCTCCACAAATTGTAGGAGATATGTCCAGCTAGTGAAGTCCGCCGGATTTTCCTTGACAGCTTTCCAGTATTTAAGTTCCTGTTCATTGACAACTTCATCTTGAGTAGTATCAGAAGAATTCTCTTGACTAACTGCAGCCTCTCCATTTTCTTTCGTTTCAGGCATTTCCGCATCAGCATCAACTGCCGTAGTGCTAGCAGCCTTACCCCCTGAATTCCATTGCAAACAAACACAGTTAACAGATCGAAGGTCGAACTAAAAAGATCATTGAACGGCCGTACACAAACACGCTGCAGTATTCGAAGTTGTGATAAAGAGGAGCCACAAAGTAATGAGAAAAAACCTTCTTTGAAAACAAGGATAAGAAAAACATAAATTTCAGCCCTTGTACCTTCAGGATGAGCCTGATTTTCGTTGGATTCTTCGTGAGAAGCTTCTTCTCCCGCAGTCGCCATTTTCTCTGCAGCGTTGTCTTGGTCCGAGGGAAGGTGGTACTAGTCACGTGAGTGAGTTGGAAGTAGGGGTGAGGGTTAAGGGTGAGGGGTGGGGGGGGGGTGGTGAGGGAGGGTTAGGGACGGTTAGGGACGGTGGGGTAAGTAATAAAAAAAATCCTGATCCAAGATTATTTACTATGCCAGGAGCCCATCAAATTTGATAGGCTCCTGACTATGCTAAGGGTAGCTAGTATGGTACTAGTAGAAACGAACTACTCGGGTTTCTGGAGGGAACAAAACAGGCAAAACCTGGGACTCTATGATTACTGCTATGATTGTGTAGATATAAAGCATTCAGTAGTCTCCGAAGCACTAGTAATTTCTTTACTCAGTTTCCACTGCCAGAAGACTGACAGGAGGGCCAAAAACTGAGGGGAGGGGTCCGTTTTGGAGAGGAAAGATTTATCGCTGACCTATAAACAGTGTTCACGGCTCAAGAGATAGATATCGTGACCCCAGTGACCCGGGGATAACGCGCAGTCACGCTACATTCTAAAAATTAATAGTTTACATACCGATAAATATCCTTGTGACCTAAACGAACTTGAAGAAGGCTTTTCCAAAGAAAATGGACAGATGTCAAGTTTATGAAAATTTCCTTTACGTTGCAGCGCTAGCCGCTGCTTGTTGTGTTTTAGTTCCTGTGAAACTCAACGAATCTGACACAAACGGTAATTGTTTGCTTTTCGCGGAGCTCAATGTCCTCACGAACACAGTCGCCACGGGCAACAACATTTTCTGTTCTTTGGCGTTTTACGCGTATCTCGTGAATGCTGCGTTAGCTGCTGTGTTAGGGTTTCTTAAGTCTTGCTGTATTGTGACCACGGAACGTTTAAGGTAAAAGAAAGTGTTAATTATTTGACGAGTATTGCACACAAATAATTGTTTTTGCCATAAAAAAATTGATGACAACATTTGATCTCCGAACTCTTAATAATACATGCACCTACACATACATAGTATACGAATTTAATTCCTTCATTTTGATTTACAAATACCTCAGCAATTTTTAAGACTCTCTCATAACTCTTTTTATACGTTGGACGTGGTTTTTGTTGTTTTCTTTCTTGTCGCATGATGACTACTTATTCTTTTGTTGTATTTGTTTTTGGCAGGTGAGTAGAGGGCAGGGGAGGTTATTGTGATTAAAATCTACCCATTCAATGACTAAAAAGAATAACAACAAGAAGCAGGAGCTAAAATTAGTCATTTTCTCATTTGACTCTCCCCAACCCACGGGACCGCGAAACAATTCCCTACCCCTGGGCCTGAAGGGCTGGGTTTGCCCTGGGGGATACCTCGGAAGGGGAAGGGACCAAGTCTTTTGACCCAGGTGAGAATTTACAAAAATACACTTCATTTCTAATTCTACTCAACCATCAACCTAAACCAAAACAGTTAAATAGAAAGTAAAGTAAAATACATTCACGCTAACAGCAGTTCTGCACATCAGCTGAAATCAAGTAAAATGACTTTAGATTGGATCTAACATTAAGTTTTTTTTTTTTGTTATAGTGCTGTATATTTCTTATTTGCAAGCAGTATTGTGTCAGCTTTAGTATGGATCAGCTGTTTGGTGTGCACTATTTTCATTGTAATTGGCCTAACAGAGTGGTGCAACTCAGTGGAAAACAATGGAAATGTGGAAAGGTATGTATAAGGAATCACAGATTGTTAGTGGCTCCAACAAAAATGCATATGATAACTTTCCAAAGCAACCTCCACCCCCGGGTCTTTCATTCAGAGCCTAATCTGCATTATAGTCTGAAGCATAGTCTGTCACTGTGCCACTTTCTTTTTCAGTTTTAACACAATTCCATCTCAAGAGACAGAATTGAGGTGTAGAATCCACAAAAGTTGCAGCTCACAAGAGTATTAAACCAAAGGCGGGAGCTGGGAGATTGGAGAAATCTCCCTGTCAGTGTCCTCACATTCCAACTCCCTTGCTAAATCAGGTTATTCATAGAGCTTACAGCCATTCAACAGATGCTGTCTCTCAAGACTGTTTAGTTGTAAAAAATACGTACATATTCTCGTTGTTGTTGTTTTTTCCATTAAAATAATAATTACTATTTCAGCTGTAAAGATGCAGAAAAGTGGGACTGGACCCTTTTTTCACCAACTGGCATTGATGGTAGCAAGTTTTACACTCATCTTTTTATGGCAGAGGTATCTAATTTATAAAATGTTGAAATTAAAACAGATTTATTGTACTTTTAAAAGCTTTGTAGTTTCCACTTAACACAAATACAATATTCTATAACCCTCTCCTAGCCCTTCTGAGTTGCCAAATGGCAATATATAGGGTAGGCTCGATTACCAGCCGCTGTTCGTGAAAATGAGCCCGCACTCATCCCCCGAAAGAGTCTCTCTTCGGGGAGGATCAAAGACCGGACCCGGGAGACGGCGGAAATTGAGCCTATATATAGGGCAGATGGCAGCATTATTTCCTGGATATCCAACCTAAGCATGACAGATTTTTGAGGTGATTATTCACTGGAGTGTTCAAAAGGTTACCTGTATTTCTTAAAATGTCATTGCTTTTTTCTAACCCTGAAATGAAAGTGACTCCCTATTCAAGAGAGAACCAATTATGCAGACTCAAAGATTTCACCATGCTCTGTAAATGCTTTAATAACAGTTCATAAATATTGTGAAAGTGAGCTTTTTACTGGGGTTTATAACCTGAGATTAATAAGCCAACACGAGTGAAAGGAACTCTACCCAAAGAAAAAACCCTAACTGAAACAAGCCTTAACTCAATGTAGATTAAAAACCATGCTTGACGTCCTGCCAGGGGGTCCCATATCGCCCGTCTGAATTTTAAAACGTCTTGTATTGGTATTTATAAATGCTTGTTGCTTATTGTCGGCTTTGCCGTCACTGTCACAATTTGGCCGAGGGAGGTTGTCCCTTGTCACGATTTCATTTTATGTGCTGTTGCTACTTTTTGGGCCATGTCGCTTGTTGGAATTTACCCTGGCAGGACCTCATGCTTTATACTGCAACACTAGCTTACATGGAAGTCCCCCCTCATGCCTCCCAGTGAATAACATTCTCTGTGAATCATTCTCTCTCAGATTGCATCAATTGCTAGTGTAGTGATCTGGTTCATCATCCTTATCCTGTCTGGGAGGAATTTCAAGCAGAGCTTGCTGAATGTAAGGGCAGCAGAATACTATCTGAATGAGGAGCGAATGAGTTACATGTATCCACCACCTATCCAAGACATACCCGTGTATGAAGTCAAAAGTGATGGAGGATCAAGATTCTTATGATCGTTTTGTTAAATCAAATTCAATAGTGGTTCAAAAGGCCTTGTAACAGGAAGTGCCCATGCCTATTGGATTCTGTAACATTGAAGACACTATGTCACTTGGAATGCTTGTCCATCACTGCTCTAAAACCATTTGGGTAGTACACTTTTACGCAGCTACCTGAGAGAGACTATAATATTTTGCAGTGACATTTTTCACTTCCACAGACCATACAGGTTTAAGAGACCTATACCAAAGACCATAGGTACAACATTCTAAACTTTCTTCTCTATCTCTTTACTTTACATCAGCTCTTAATGACATGTATAGTGATTTTGATTATTTTGAGTAGTTACTCATCATTATACACGATGCATAATTTATATCATATTTACAACAATCAAAAATAATGACATTAAAACAGTTAAAAACCTAAATATTTCCTTTTCATTATATTATGTGCAAAAGTTTGCACCAAATTAAAAACTATCATTTTGTATTTATCAGACATTAGGATATATTATTACGTTATTATTACATTAGCCTAACTATTCTCCATAATCATTTAACCCAATTCTTATGACTAAATTTACCAGTATGTTCTAGGAGGGGGACATTGGGGTCATTAAAGTTTCCTGAATTGTGCATTTTTTCCATACCAACATTTATTTTTATTTTAAATTTTTAAATATTTCTTGAATTTTTCATGAAAAAGGCTTAAAATATTGGAATTTGCTCAATTTATAGGACTTTAAAGGAGTGGTCTGAAAAAATAGGATTTTATAGGAATATAGTACTCGCTTGACACCCTGTATTTCCCAATCGGTAATTGAAATATAAATGTGTGCGGTTTTGCGGTAACATCTTGCCATGTGGTATCTGTTTTTTCACCCTTTTGGCTGACAGTACAAATGTATTTGGTGAAAGAAGATCCTTCAAGGTATTGCTTTGCCATTCATTTGCAATCTCCTGTCTAATACAGGTCAATACAATATGCAACACATAACTAAACTATATAGGTTTAATAATAGAAGTCAATTTTTTTAAGTGGTTTCGTGGTAAGTGATTACACAACAGTTAATCTACAAT